TTGGTTGGGTGTCTTTGGCCCTCGATGTGGTGGGAGGCACGCGAGGACTCAGTAGTCTGGTGCTTCCCACGGGGACACCTGGTGGTGTGCAGGGCACTCGGTGGCTGCCCGTTCAGCCTGCACCTCTGTGACTGCCTGAGGGATGCAGCCGGAGGTCTGTGGGTGCCAGCACCACCCCACTGCCAGGCCACTTCTGCAGCTACGTATTCCCTGGGAGGGTGTCGGAGATCTCTGCAGCCAGGCGTTGTCACTGATTCACCAAATATCTGCCTGTCTGCTCTGTGAGTTTCTGGGCTGGATACTGAGAGATCCAAAAGGGAAATGGTGTTTGCCTTCATGGAGCTTGTCCCGTGTCAGGAGAGAGAAGACCCGTGTGCACACTGATCACAGAAAGAGGAGTAAATGCCCTAAGACAGATGGAGAGGGCGAGGGGAAGGGGTGAACGAACTGGCTGAACCAATCACAGTCTGAAGAGTGGAGGGAATCAGGTACAGGGCGGGTGGTTGAGGAGCATTGACAGATGCAGTGGGGATGGGGGGTGTAGTGGGGGACAGTCTGGGCTGTGCAGGTTGGGAGTCAAGGGCATAAGCCTGAAGAACAGTCAGACCAGATGGTGGAGTGCTGGCTACGGATCTTCCGCCTCCCTCTAGAAAACGTAAGTGTTGCTGTGTAAACCGCCACAGCTGAGGAAGAGGGGCCCGGGCTAGGAAGTCTTGGTTTACTGTGCAGCGACTTACCTCATGTCCTCCGAGCTGATTTAGAGGATTTCTGGTAAATCAGGAAGTTTAGTCTGGTGCCTGAAGGCAGTGGCATTGAGAGGCTGGGACGTGTGTAGGCGTGTGTGTGCGCGTGCATATGTGTGTGTGCGCGTCTAATCCTTGTTAAATCCGTCTGAACTTTTGCCATGTGTTGGGTTGGGTAATAGGTGTGTGCGGGGCTGCGCTGTATTCCTAGGCGGGTCAGAATTCCTTTCTAGGCCAGTGTTCCACCTGATGACAAGGCAGCTTTGTGAGTCATCTGGGTGCTACAGTGCAGAAGTGTCCAGGGAGAGATCCTCTTTGCTTTCCACTCCTTGCCGGGTGCGTCACCTCGGTGGGCCTGGGAATAACTTGGAAATGGCACTGTCAGGAGAAAAGCCTGGAGCCAGGTGTCTGGCTGGAATGGAGTCATGGGGGAGTCAGAGCCTTTGAAACCTAGAAGCGTTCAAGCTCCTGTGTTTACCTGGGCCGACCTCAAACCATCCTAGGAAGGAGAAAATCAGACCTGCTCTGATACCAGGGTGCCTACTGCTACTTAGGTGTTTTTCAGTGATTCATTCCTGGGGTGAGAAACTGAGTCTTGGATTTACCCACTCTGCTGGTGTCAGAGGGGCTCAGCAGGGAAGTAGGTCTAGGATTCCAGATGAACTTCTTCCATGATTTTTGAGCACGTACTGATGTGACCCCCAAGAGGACGTGGCTTTCTTGATTAAAGTTAATATTTCTTTTATTAAATCCTAGAAAAGATAGGGACGTCAGAGCTGGCCGAGTCAGACTCCTGGGGCATGTTGATGGTATCCAGATGCAATTCTGCAGAGGAATCCTGGAAAACAGGAGCAAGTCTAGAGGAAAGGCCGCGGGTGGTTAGTGGGCAGGAGGTCATAATGAAAATAGTGGAAGAGCCTGAGATATTTAGCTTGGAGAGAAGAAGACAGGGTTGGGTTTTGTTTTAGGGCATAGGGGTGGTGGAAAGTAAATGACCTTCAGATTAAAGGGTAGTGAGGAAAGAGTGAAACTAGATCTGTTTGGATGCCCAGCCATCACACCCAGCATCAAGCGCTCTGTGGGGCCTCCAGGCTGGGAGGCTTTGACTTTGTATAAAATAATCGTATTGGTTTGGAGAGGAGCGCACTGGTTTGGAAGGTCCTCCTTTTGGGGTTTGAGGTAAGATATCCCAAGTCCTTTCCTAATTGAAAGTTTCCCCTTCCTCACGAGGCAGTGTCACTGGCACCTTGTCACCCTGCCTGACTATGCTGGCTGTCTTCTGAGCGAAGGTGACCATCTGGCTCCTTCTCATGTACCACCTCAGTGCTGGATTGGGAGAGGAGCGGGAGGAACACAGCGGGACGGGGCGCTTCTGTTTTCAGAGCCTGGCTGCACCTACGGCTCCTTCCTGAGGCGAGTCTGCCTGCTAGCAGAGTGGAAGAGAAACCGTGGAAATAATAACAACAATGAGAGTAGAGGCTATTGATTTTTTTTTTTTTTTTTAGTAGCTGAGCAATTTATCCACGATTTCTCAGCTGGTGAGTGGCAGAGCCAAGATCTGAACCCAGGCAGGGAGGTAAGCAGGTTCCGAGCCTGCACTTTTAATTCCGTGCTCTTCTGCTCGGCTGGCCTGAAATTCCAAACTTACAGGATAATAAATATAAGTGTCCCAGGAAAATCAGAAAGATATTTGTGTCAAGATCACTGGTTCTTTGCTGGAACTGGGCATCAGTATCATCTGGGTACCTTTTGTGTTATTTATTTTTTCAATAGAAAATTCCTAAACTGACTTTTCTTTCCCTCCTTCTCTCCCTTCCTTCCTTTCTTCCTTCTTTCTTTCCCTGTCTCTCCTTTTTTTCAATAGAAAATTCCCAAACTATGGATAATTTTTAAAACACAAATGACAGATATGCTGTTTCCCTCCTTGACAGACACACATCCTATCGAACTCTAATCAAGAAAAAAAGCAAGCAGTGGTGTCTGCCCTAGGGTGTGGTGGCCTGGGCATCTCTTAAGTTGCCCATTGCTTGCCTATTCAAGGTATGCTTTTGAGATGCCATTGAATGAAGTTTGCCCTCTGAGTACAGCCCTGGAAACTGTCTCTCTTTTGCTTGCAGTTCATTTAGGACAGAGAAGCAACAGTTTATATAGGGTCACAAAGTGTTTGAGCTAGCCATAGATGAGCCAGCCAAAGTCCCCCATTTTATAGGCTGGCAGAGGGTCGGGACCTCAACCAAGCCACAGGGGATGGCAAAGCTGGGCCTGGAGACCACGCTCCCGACCTGTGACTGAGGTCTCTTCCTAAGAAAATTTAGAGATTCTAGTGTCATGAGTAGTTGTGGTAACAACAGAACCCACCTCTCTATCTGGAAGTCTTCTCGAGTGTCTTAGCGAAAGATGCTCTGAAGGCTGGGCACAGTGGCTCACGCCTGTAATACCAGCACTTTGGGAGGCCAGGGCAAATCACTTGAACCCAGGAGTTTGAGACCAGCCTGGGCAAGATGGCAAGACCCCATCTCTACAAAGAATTTCTTTAAAAAATTAGCCAGGGATGGTGGTATGCACCTGTAGTCCCAGCAGCTTGGGAAGTTGAGGCAGGAGGATCCCTTGAGCCCAGGAGTTTGAGGTGGCAGTGAGCTATATGGTCATACCACCGCACTCCAGCCTGGTTGGCAAAGCAAGACCCCATCTCTAAATGTGTGTGTGTGTGTGTGTGTGTGTGTGTGTGTATGCTATGTAATAAAACATAGTTCTGATTTTTATGGTTTATTCAGGCCGTAGGAGAGAGACAGCCAGTGTTCACTTGGCAATTTAGAGTAGTTGGAGGATTTGAAGAATAAACCTGGAATTTAACACCCAATCTGTTTACAAGATGAACACTTTTTACCAGGCCTCAGCTTCCTTTTGTGAAAGCCCTGCTGTCTTATGTGTAAAATCTTATTGCTAGGTAAATGAGTCATTTTGGTAATTATAAAATCTGTAAATCCTCTGACACTTTCTGTATGCTTTTCTACATGCACATACCCATGCATCTTTAGTGCTTTAGCCCAGGAGGCATTAGCCCTGTTTATTGAATGGATTGATACTGAATCTCCCTAGTAGCTCCATAAGAGAAATTATTGTTCCATTTTGCCATCAACCAAGGCACTGAGATGAAGGTGATAAATGCCTTGCTCAGTGGCCAAGAAGTTGAAGGCAGGTCCCCTGGTGTCTTCTTGAGTTTCTTCCCGTTGCCATTCAGAGCAGGGTCTGTGGAACAGCAGCATTGCACGGGATCACCATAGGGGCTTGGTGGAAGCACAGCCATCCAGTGGCACCAGACCCACTGAATCAGAGTCTGCTTGTTGAACAAGATCCCCGGGTGGTTCTCATTCACTTTAAAGGTTAAGAGGCGCTGATGCTGTTCTATGCTGCATTTCCAAGTGGCTTAACTGTTCTCTCTTTGGTATTGGTGTAAACGATGCATTTCCTGTTCTGATCCTGCTCTTTTCTCTGGGATGGGTGGTGGGGAAGGGAGGAACTGGAAGATAAACAAGTATATGACTTTTATACATGTTCTTTGTTCTTTTGCTGCTTGTTTTTGTGGGGCTCGTTTTCAGGAGGCACTGTAGAGCCCTTCATCTTCCAGGGCTTTCTCGTACTCAGTCAGTTACTCTGGGGAGGGATCCCAGAACCATCTGGGATAAGACTGACCCTGCCTGGAGGAGAGGGAGGCAGTGTAACCTCTGACCACTGAGCTACACAGAGGTGGGTGCTCCAGGGGATGTCACATTGGCCAGCTGCTGTCGCCGGCAAGGGGCATTCTGTTGCCCCTGGGAGTTGAGAATGACTGCGTCGCTCAGATCCTAACACAGTAGCAGGGAAGGCCAATGTCGGTCTTCTCCGAGTCTAATTGGGAGAGAAGGTGACACACTCGTTTCTTGGCGTCCAAAGTGAAAGCAGGTGGGGCCACTAGAATGTGCAGTGCTGTTGCTTCATCAGGCGTGCTCAGGAGGGCCAGGGTAAATTCTGCAGGCTGACCTAGTTGCCTCACAGATGCGATCCTCCCTGGACTCATTGAGTAACGTCTGAGGTGTGGGCATAACACAATTAAGGTGTTCTCAAAGCTGGAAATCCAAAGCATCCGAGTGATGCTCTGAATCATTCACCGTGTGGAAGGAATGTGCTGGCAGGCGCAGATTGCCGGCTGAGTGTTCCACCGAAATTAAACTCAAGTGCTGACTTCTTGTTTTTTACCTCCCCACCCCTTCCCTCAAGGTTGGTCTCCGCCAGCTGGACATGTCCTTGCTCTGCCAACTATACAGTCTCTACGAGTCGATTCAGGAATACAAGGGGGTGTGCCAGGCAGCCTCCAGCCCAGACTGCACTTATGCTCTGGAGAACGGCTTCTTCGATGAAGAGGAGGAATATTTCCAGGAGCAGAACTCCCTGCACGACAGGAGGGACCGAGGCCCTCCTCGGGACTTGTCACTGCCTGTCTCCTCCCTCTCCAGCGGCGACTGGATTCTGGAGTCCATCTAGAGGGTCTTGGGAGGGATGTGACTGTTGGGAAGCCCTTCATACTGGACACACTGTCAGCATTTGCTGCTTCTCTTGCAAGAAAGCACCTCCGTTTTGGATGGTCCTCGGGCACAGGGGATGAGTGCTACCAGTTTCATTTGTAGGCAGGGAGTTCTCCGCGGACGCATGGTGGCAGTCTGCTTTGATGGCAGCAGTTTTTGCTTAGGTGACCTAGAGGTCCTCAGCAGTATCCTCCACACCTTTCTATTGAGGTGCACCTGCTGGGGATTCATAGTGAGAATATAACAAGAGGATCTCGGTGAAAGGCCTCAGTGGGTGTTTTGTGTGAGGTGGCTTGTAGCCAGCTGCTTCCTTGTGGATGGTAGAGTATTCCAATCCTCTTTGTGCTAGGGTTCTTGCTTCCAGTTTGGGATGTGTTAGAACCACCATTTCACTGCTTCCCTTCCTCAATATGCTCTGCAGCTTTTCTTGCTGTTTAATGAGCTTTTAAGCCTCTCGCTTCAGCTTTATTTATTTGTAAGCTGCATTACTAACTGCCCAGTGATTCGGTGAAGGCTTTTTACTGAAAAAGTTCACATTTCTAGTCACCCCAATCAACTGGCTTTTTTCAACCAAAAATTTATATCATTCTTTGTCTATGAGGTACAAGAGGAAGGAAGATAATACAAAGACATGTTGAATAGTGAAAAAAATAAAAAACAAAAAAACTGAGGCAAGCCAATGTTCTGTAAAACTCACTGTAAGATGGCAAATGTTTTCATTTTTAAGATTCTGAATGTAAACTAGTGTGCTAGAAAGCAAACCACCCTCCACTTAAACCAGTAATTACCTTAAGCCTTAATATATTTATTAAAATACTTTATGAGAACATTATACTTTGTAGGTTAAAAATGAGGATAAAATGCTAAACTATCTGTTGTCGTGTGTTATTTTATTCTGAGTTTGAAATAATCAACTTTCATGACTTGAATGCATTGAGTCCAAATAATGAAAGAAAATTAGTTTGTTTTTCTGCCACTAAATGCATTTGAAAGAAGGTTGATCTGTTGAGCTTAAGGAATCATTTTAGCAAGAGTAGATCACCATTTACAGCTGGTTCCCAGTGCTCTCTTTTTTTTTTTTTTTTTTGTGAGACGGAGTCTAGCTCTGTCGCCTAGGCTGGAGTGCAGTGGCACGATCTTGGCTCACTGCAACCTCTGCCTACCTGGGTTCAAGCAGTTCTCCTACCTCAGCCTTCCGAGTAGCTGGGATTACAGGCGCCCACCACCATGCCCAGCTAATTTTTGTATTTTTAGTAGAGACGGAGTTTCACTGTGTTGGCCAAGCTGGTCTCAAACTCCTGACCTCGTGATCCACCCGCCTTGTAATCCCAAAGTGCTGGGATTACACGCGTGAGCCACCATGCCTGGCCACTCTTCTGTCTTTGAATGCTGCAGACTCGTTCATCTTTCTTTTGGTGCGATAATTGCTCACTAGAGCCTCCTTCAGGTTAGGGAGAGGAAGACATCTCAACATCATGCATCGCCCAGTGTTAACCTGTCAAGTACACCCTGTGTCAGGAACTGGGGTGAGATACAGGGAAGGAAGAATATGCCTGCTTATTTCCTCTGTTGAAAGGAGGTAAAATGAAAGGCGGCAATTAATTGCCTTCAGCACATAACTGGTCAGTGGGGACAAGAAAATTGAAAGCAGTTAAGACCAACAGAGTTAAGTTTGGGTCACTTGCAGGAACCTGTTCTTTGAGGCTGTTCCATGGTTACAGTGAGTTGAACCCTTAGATCAGCTGTTCTTGAACCTGCCCACTTTAAGAATCACCTGGGGAATGTTTAGGAAAATACTGATGCCTAGGGCTGGGCGTGGTGGCCCATGCCTCTAATTCCAGCACTTTGGGAGGCCAAGGCAGGCGCATCAGAAGGTCAGGAGACTGAGACCATCCTGGCCAACATTGTGAAACTCTGTCTCTACTAAAAATACAAAAATTAGCCGGGCGTGGTGGTTCTTGCCTGTAGTCCCAGCTACTGGGGAGGCTGAGGCAAGAGAATCGCTTGAACACAGGAGGCAGAAGTTGCAGTGAACCGAGATCATGCCTCTGCACTGCAGCCTGGCGACAGAGCGAGACTCCATCTCAAAAAAAAAAAAAAAAGAAAAGAAAAGAAAAATACTGATGCCTGGGCTCCGGCACCCCGCATCCCTAGTCTGGATTTAATTAGGAGTGAGGTGTGGGCACCTCTATGGAGTGAGGAAGCCTCCCAGGTGATTCTAATGTGCAGAAATGTTGCGATACAGTCCTTCAGCTACATAGTGTTCAAAGCACTGTGTTCAGAACACTACAAAGTGTTGCGTAGATGAGACCTGCAGAATCTCAAAGCACCCTGGCCCTGCTGAATCAGCCCCTGCCTCTTAACAAGACGCCTCTGATGATTCCTCTGCACAAAGCTTGGGAAGCAGCTTTCTGTCGGCTCAGTGCGTAGCACTTGGAGACCACTGCTTTGTAGAGGGCTACCAGGATCTCCTTCGGCACTGAGGAAGAGCGGGCCCCCGGGCATCGTCAGGAGACCCCAGTCCTCTCAGAATGGGTCAACAATAGCAAGGGAGTGAAGCTCCAAGGACAAGTTCAGGCTTGGGGGAACTCATGGTTCAGAATGGCTCCCTTCCCTGGGTTGCTGCCTCTGGGCTGTTCTGGAACTGCAGTGATTCATTGTGCTTTTGAGTTTTGGGGCTTTCTTCTCACTATTGCTGGATAGTCTGTCAGAGTTAGACGCGGAATGAGTCGAGGCAGGCCAGGGGCCTCTGCCTTGCTGCTGGGAAGGGCCAGCACATTCCTCGTTCCTATGATGAAGATGCACGTGTATACAATAACCACCACACTTCTTTATACTCCACTTAAAACACGTAAATAACCCCAAACTGTTACTCCAAGTATAATGTGAATACAGCTTGGCAAGGAATTTAATATTTACAAAACTATAAAATGTTTTGTAGTATAATTTCTTTACAAAAGGTGTCACAAGGGATTAGAAAATAAATTCAACGATTGTCCTTTATTGCCACCTGGTATAAATCATATCGTTAAGCTCAGAGTGGGACTTTCTCTGCTATTCTTGAGGTTATACTCAGTGCCCAACAGAGAGATGTTAAGGCCATCCCACATTAACTGATGAAAGCTGAAAAAAACATAATTTATTATGTGAGGCAAAGTACATAGTAGTCAAAGCAAAGATTCTGTAGCTTTCTACAGCATGTGTGCAGTGAACCCAGAATTGTTAATAATTCAAGCCTTGCAATCCACAGATAAGGTGCAGTTCCTCTATGTCCCTAGTAGAATTCATATTCAACTAATCGACTTGACTTGTCGCTTTCATTTGTCCCAACCTAGGCTGATACCATTTTTTCAACTAATATTTAATTTAGCACTTCTCCGGGTCACATTGGTCCAGGCACCAAGAATAACATGAAGAACCTTGGGCAGATGTGACAGTTACACAAACACCCCAACCCATATGGTTAAGTGTTACCATAATAACATCTGAGTCAGCTTTGAAGATGGATAAGTTCTTTACGAGGAAGAGTGAGAAGGTTGACAGAGTGGCATAATCAAACTCCCCTCCACAGACTTTTATGTCTAGTGTTGTATTTCATAAAACATTTTCATTGCTTTTTTTTTTTTTTTTGAGATGGAGTCTCACTCTGTTGCCAGGCTGGAGTGCAGTGGTGCGAACTTGGCTCACTGCAGCCTCCATCTCCCGGGTTCAAGCGGACATTTTCATTTCTATCATGAAAACACAGGTTAAATGATTTGCTGAAGGTCATGGCTAAATACAGGCAGAGCTAGAGTTCCTTCTCAGATGCAGTTTGTGCTCCGTGTACATAAGGCACAGGCAAGTGCTGCAATATGACAAATCTAGAGAGATTGTCGGGTATAACCCTTTAATCTTATGTGACAGTGCTTTACTATTTAATGATTTATTGTGTAATTTTTAAGAAATCAAATCTTGCTCTGACTTCTATGCGGACAGGCCTAGTTTCTTTCAGAGCCTGTTGTCAGCAGTATACGCCAAGCGTGTGGCTAATGGGGAGGCTCTACAGCATCTTAAGTCACCTCGCTGTGGGTGAGTTGGCCATTTCATGTCAACTTCCTGCCCAAAGAAAACTTTAGAAATCGAAACCTCCAAGCATGTACAGTCTTCTTGTCTTCATGATTGAGTATACTTTCAGCTCAGAGAGATTTATTCTATTAGGAGGTAGTAAAGGTTATGATAACCTCTGGAAGATAACATCTGGAAGTTGCCCCTGATGAACAGCTGACCCCTGCTTGATGACGATTTCATGGGTGAAAAAGCTACAGGAGTGTGGGTCTTCCGACCACCTAGTGTGAGCCTTGGAAACAGCTTCACCAAACAGCCTGGCTGATGCCTCTCTTCTAGCCAATTGTGATAGGAATGCATTACTTTTCCACCGTGCCTCAGTCCTCCCAACTTCTCTGGCCACTGGTAAAGTAAGGACAAGTTCCGAAAACCCAGCTTCCTACCTAATTCTCCTGACTGCCATGGAGAACTTACACAAGCTCAGCATCTATAGAATGTTGAGCAAGGGTTGGGTGCGGTGGCTCACACCTGTAATCTCAGCACTTTGGGAGGCCGAGGCGGGCAGATCACAAGGTCAGGAGTTCGAGACCAGCCTGGCCACTATGGTGAAAACTTGTATCTACTAAAAATACAAAAATTAGCTGGGCATGGTGGCAGGTGCTTGCAGTCCCAGCTACTCGGAAAGCTGAGGCAGGAGAATCGCCTGAACCTGGGACGCGGAGGTTGCAGTGAGCCGAGATCGCGCCACTGCACTCCAGACTGGGCGATAGAGCAAGACTCCATCTCAAAAAAAGAAACAACCACAACAAAAAATGTTGAGCAAGGCCAGCAAAGCAATCTTAGCAAAAATAAAAGCATGAAACAATAGTAAGGAAGATGTTATAGCCTAGGATGCAGATGCCCGAGGCGAGGAGAGGACGGGGTAAATGCTAACTGGAAAATTATGTGTCCTCAATTTCAGGCAGAAGCTCAATGGCTCCATCTTCCTGTTTCCCATTCTGTCTCCAAGATAGAGAATCTCTAATAAGCTCAGTGAGGAATGGAGCCCCAGAAACCATTATATCAGGAAAGTAGATTTTGGTGGGAGGGGTACTTTCATTAGAAAGAGGCACGGTAAAAGGAACAGTCACCATACAGTCAGACAGCTCTCCCCAGTTCCCCCAGGGCACATTCTAAGAGAAGGGAAATTAGGATTCAACAACTTTGATCAGTTCTGTTCTAGTTAAGGAAAAATAACCTCACCTTTCATTTTATTTCTTTTCCTGCCCTTAGGATGATGAGATGTCAGAGTAGGGCTTAGGGAGAAAGGGTGAAAGAGGAGACCATTTAAGATGGCATCTAAGCCTGGGCAACATGGCAAAACACCTTCTCTACAAAATATACAAAAATTAGCCAGGGATGGTGGTGCATGCCTCTAGTCCCAGCTACTCAGGAGGCTGAGGTGGGAGGATCTCTTGAGCCCCAGAAGGTGGAGGTGGCAGTGAGCCGACATTGTGCCGCTGCACTCCAACCTGGGCAACAGAGAGAGACACTGACTCAATATATATATATATATTTAAGATGGAATCTTGCTTTGCCACCCAGGCTGGAGTGCAGCGGCGTGATCTTGGCTCACTGCAATCTCTGCCTGCTGGGTTCATGCGATCCTCCTGCATCAGCCTCCTGAGTAGCTAGGATTACAAGCACATGTCACCATGACCGGCTAAGTTTTTCTCCATTTTTAGTAGAGATGGAGTTTTGCCATGTTGGCCAGGTTGGTCTCGAACTCCTGACCTGAAGTGATCCACCCGCCTTGGCCTCCCAAAGTGCTGGAATTACAGGCGTGAGCC